GTGGAGCTCAGCTGAACTTGACTTAGCTGGGCTGGGTTGAGCTGATATGAACTGAGCTGGGCTGAACTGGGCTGGGCTGCGCTGAAATGAACTGGATTTGGCTGGGCTGTGTTGGGCTGAACTGAGTTGGATGGGGCTTAACTGGGCTGAGCTGAACTGGGCTGAACTCAGCTGAGCTGAGTGGAGCTGAGCTGAACTGGGCTAGGCTGGGTGGGCTGAACTGAACTACACTGGGCTAGGTTGAGCTGAGTTCGACTGGGCCAAACTGGTCTGATCTGGGCTGGGCTGAGCTGGGCTGAGCTGAACTAGTGTGGGCTGAGCTGCTGGGTTGAACCAGACTAAGGTGGGCTGAGCTGGGCTGAACTGGGTTGGCTTGAGGTAAACTAAGCTGAGCTGGGCAGGCTGGGCTGGGCTGGACTGAATTGGGCTGAGCTGGGCAAGACTATGCTGAACTAGGCTGAACTGGGCTGAATTGGGTTGGGCTGGGCTGGGCTGAGCTGAATAGGGCTGAGTTTGGTTGTGCTGAACTGGGCTAAACTCAGTTAGGATGGGCTGAGCTGGGCTGAACTGGGATTAGCTGGGCTGAACTGGGATTAGCTGGGCTGGGTTGGGCTGAGCTGGGCTGAGCTGGGCTGAGCTAGACTGAGCTGGGCCGGCTTGAGCTAACCTAGGCTGAGCTCGGCAGGCTGAGCTGGGCTGGCCTGAATTGTGCTGAGTGGGGCTGAGCTGGGCTAAGCTGAGCTGAGCTGGGCTGGGCTGAGTTGAACTGGTCTGAGGTGGACCGGGCTGGACTGAGGCACGTTTGTTGTGTACGCTGAGCCAATGTGAACTGATGACAGCTGAGTAAAGTCCGGAGTTCACAGTAAGGTCCACCCCTAGTAGGTTCTCTGAGCCTGCACCCTGTCCGCGGTGCTGCCCCGGTCAGCCTGCTGTTCAGGCTGCTGTCCTCGAGTTTCCCCCACTACCGTTTCCTACAGAAGAATCGCCCGGCCCGAAGATCCCCTCTGCCCCACCTATTCCTTCCTCCCTCCCCCCAAACGCCCGGCAACCGCTGACCTTCGCGCCGTCACACTACATGTGCTGTCCCCCACATCACGCAGTGCCGATGGTACAGCGTGTAGCCTTCTCCAGCTGGCTGCCTCCCCTCAGGGCACACGGGCCGGCACGCGGCCCACATGTGCCCACGGGGTGCTGACTATAGGGCTTCTCGGCACGAACAGACCTTCCAGTGGCCCTGCCACGAGGAGGGCAGGTGTGTGTGCTGGCCTGGCAGCCCGAGCC